CTTAGCTCTTTAAAACAATAAATTCAAATTCAAAATTCAAAATAGTTGATCCATCTCCGCGGGGGCTTCCGGTTAATTCGGTGTGCATTCGATTAAACGACGAGCACGTCCACTCCTCTTTGACGCGGCAGCCGCTTACGTTTCCGTAGATCAAAGGATCAAGACGGGCGCCCACGCTCCCTGTATACACGCAGTCCGATGGACTCGACCGAGAAGGACGAGTAGGTTGGGTTCAGAGGTAAACTTTGCGTACCGGGGATACGCAGTGGTAGTTAGTCTCGAGGGTGTGTTTTATATCAGCGCGCGTCCACTCATGGCTTTGATCGGAGTGACGCGTTTTCGTTTCCCCCCTTGTACTCAATTACCCCTTCGTTGTTTCGTTCGATGGGTCTTGTAGACGAAAAAAAAAAAAAGAAAAAAAAAGAAAAAAAGCCCTTGGCAGGGTTAAAATACCTACCCCCTCGGTCGCTCTGTACGTGGAAAACATCGGGAGAATGTGAAAGCGAGCTGCAGCGAGGCGACGCCGGTAAAAGAGACACATCCGAGTCGGTTGCAGCGGCAGCAGGAAGGATCGACTGTACACCGGAACGGAGAATCGCGTGGCATCGCAATGGGAGCGAGCCTGTAGAGGCTGGATTTAATGTCGCGGCAGCAATGGAAGGGGATATGTCCAGGTAATTGCACGGCTGGTGCTCAAGTGCCGGCGAGACTGGTCAATTTCAAGCCCCCGCTGCAGCCGGTAAATTTCGCTTTCCTCTCGCGTCGTTGACGAGAGCTGCTGCTTCCTCCCTGCCCCCTTTCTCTTATTCTCTGGTCATCCCATGTGTGCGGTATCCCCTGTCTTCCTCCAGCCCTTCTCGACCGATGGTTCTATCGACTCGACGAGACGTGATGCTATGTTTTTTTTTTTTTTTTCAGAGCAATGACTGCATCCGGTTTTCGTGCAGCAGATTTTCTGCGAAAATACGTACCCCGTGAATTTGGAAAGCGAACGCCGTGTTTAGTGATGGATGTGAATCAATCGATCACTCGACCAATGATTTATCAATGGTTCATAAACCATAAGCGTCGACGGTGAATAATTGAAAGGTAGTTTCAATTTACTCCGGAGACATGTATCGCATTAATAATCGATGGGCACCGATTTATCACGAACAGAACGTGAACGAGAAGAAAAAAAAAAGATTCCAAAGCCGGAAGCTCGAAGTAAGGCAATTCGATGAGTTATCGTTGACCCCGTTTAGCCGTGAAAAAAGCATCCAAAGTGTTTTTTTTTTTTTTTTTTTTTTTTCCTCTCCTATACCCTCTTTTGGTATCTCGCGCTCCAGTGGCACTTATTTCATTGACAGAGTCGCACTCGACGCGGTCAGCACTTCTTCGCCGCCAATCAATCCACATCCATCTATCGAGTGGTTATGTAGTGTATACGTCGACGCCATCGGGGACCATTTTCCTATCCATCAAGAACCCGAGAGAGAGAGAGAGGAAGCGGTGAGGGCTGAAAGGGATAGTCGTGTGACAAATTCTGAAAGGAGCTGTGAGTGGATGTGCATCAAAGGGCTGCTCCGATGGAGCTGTCCTGATTGAGTTTTTTTTTAATTTTTACTCCTTTTTTATTTTTCGTGAAAATTTTGCTATGGGATACAAAATCTTTGATAGACCTCCTCTTAAAAAAACATGTGAACATTTTTTTCATATTAAAAAAAAAACAAACAAATCGAATATCTACGTGCAAACACCACCACGACGCGTCGGCGTACTAACATATACGTGTACCATTGCCGCAGGCAAGCAATATTGCGAGGACGCAAATCCGGTGTCGATCGCGAACTGCTATACCGTTTGGTTCATTAAGCGCTTCATTGTTCGCGCCTGGTATAAATATACATATATACGTGGAGCATATAACCGCAAGCAGCACGCGTATATACGTGAGTGTACAAGGGAAGCTGAAGTAGGTGATTTGGCTTGAAAGGAAGAGCTCGAGGCTTATGATTTTTTTATTTATTCCCTTTTTTTTCAACTACAAACTTTATTTACATTTTGTTGCTATGGATTTGAAGAATAAACGTGCCACGTCTGACTAAACCGGGGGTGTTCTACTGCGTAGGGTTTCTGTTTGCATGACTTTTCGTGCGCTTACACAAGAGCACATATTATGCGGAAATTGAAATTTATTGTACTGAAATATAATGAATCTCATACAATGAGTTAACGCGTGGTTTCAAAAGTTATTTATAAAAATTTTATTCAATCAACAATGAGATTCGTTCGATGAAACGACACTAGTTTGATCAATTGTTTCTAACATTATTTTGGAATTCTAAGGGTATAATGTAACAAAACTTAACAAAAAAAAAAAAAAAATTCAAGCAGTGATGTTCAAGTTTGTTAATTATTGACATTAAACAAATCACCAAAACAGACAGAATGACGCAAAGACAACCGAACTGTTGAACCGTTTCAGGGTAACCACCAAAACTGGATCATGTACAAACGCAAACATTGTATTTGCATGTTGTATAGTCAGATATATGGTTCTACCTAATCCCTCGTTTTCTTTTTTTTTTTTTTTCTCTCTCGCACAGCTCGAGAGAGAAATATACCAAGTCGTTTTCATTTTCGCTCTCGCCATAGCCCGAGCTAACGTGTAACGAGGCGTTCGGAGCATCATCCTGCCCAGTACAGCGCCACCCCCGTCTGCTCTGCTTCTCCCGTGCAATCTCGCGTATATAAACATTCCATCCTCCCGACACCTTTTATTTTTGCTTCCCTCTCTCTCTCTCTCGTTCCTCTTTTCCTTTTGTTTCGCTTCGCCAAGGCCGGTGTCTGGATGTTTATCTTTTTTGCTGCCGCTGTAACTGCTGCCGGGTGGATTTATCTCCCGTATAAATTGAGATGCCGGCATGATAGTTCCTTCGCTATGCCAACGCGCTATGAGAAAATTTCGCTCCTGGCTTTGAAAAATGATGAATTATCATCGTGTTCGGCAAAACAAAGCTTTTATCAGAAAAGCACATCAATTAGGCGGCAAAAACACTCAACCTGGGAAGCCACTGGACAAACACCTCTCGAGTCCACCGAAATTTTCCAACCACCCCCCTCCCCCTTTTTGTCCCCTCAACAGCTGATTGTTCCATTGACTTATACGAGCACAGGTACAGCAGCGTACGTGCTTTTCCCCGTCAAACACAAACTCTACACCCGAGCGCGCTGATTCGGAACAACTTTGTCAAAAGCTCCTCCTCGTTTTCGAGAGCCCAAACAACTGCAAATTCAATTCGCGGACTTTTGTTGGACTAATTCGGCGGTGTAGTGGATAAAAGTCGCCGAGGCTGGTAGTTCCCGCCCTTTGATCGCGACGAGCTGCGTTCGGGGTACAACGACGGATACGAGGATTTGGAATCAAGTTCGTCAAAATGTTGTGACGAACGCCGCGTTTTTTCGATCCATTGGAATCTCGGCGAAAAAAAAAAGAAAGAAACGAGACTGCACACACGTATATACACGTATAGGCAGGATATCCCGAAATCAATTTCGTTGCCGGTCCGGGATTGATCAAAGGGCACAGAAAGGATTCGTCATCGGGACGTGGGCGAGGCGTCCAGTGTAGACCCGAGCGGAAAATCATGACGTTCGGAGGAAGAAAGGGGAGGGTTCCTAATCGACTCCCTTTTTCTCTCTTGATTCTTTATACTCCTCTGCTCGGGATAGCCTCGTTTAGTTTCCACGTATGTGCGCGGTTGTATCCGTGCATGACTGATGGCTCTTCCCCCCCACCCTCGTTTTATCCCGGTTGGGCAGCTGCTGGTGCGTAGTTCGTCGAAATCGAATCGAAGTGCGTGCAAAGGGAAAAAAAGTACGGGATTCCAAATTGAATTGAAATGCGACGCGAGTTACGTTTTGGGGGTGGGGGTTCTACTTCTTCTGGGTCTCCTCTGCCGGACGGTACGGCGGCACTGATGGGAAATTTTAATGAAACCTAGTGGAATCTCGTATCTCATCGAGCACGTTCCAGTGGAAAATGAAAATTATGTATACTTCCCAAAACAAGCTAAAAATCAATGGACCCCATCTTCGGGTATCCAATCGTGTGTATCTACGCGCAGAGAAACCAAGGCTTTTTTACGGTCTGCTGCATACGCCCTTACATCGATTTTCATGGCCTATATAACCACCCTTGCTACTTTGCCCACCACCCCACAGTTCGACCCCTATTTTTTATTTTTTCCTGCAACAACCGCAGCTTTTTCCTCAAAGTACACCAGTACGAATTCTCTTCCTTTCTAGCTCGCGGATAAGCCACCGTAATATTCGACCCTGCTGCTTTAGGTACATCAAGTGCGAAGGGGACGACACGCGTGTACAGTTTTTCGCAAGTAAAACAGAGAAGAAACAGGATATAAAGGGGAACATGCATCTCGTGTCGCACCCCATCGTCATTTTGGACGTATGTTTAAAAAACATTTCACCTCGTACACCCCACGGCTCCCCAAAGCACGTAAACGTTGTTCACATTGGCATCGACGCTCTGTCACTAGTAAGCCGCAAAATGTCCTCGGCCATAATGCACGTACCATAGCAGCGTCAGCAGCTCGCCAATCACCACTTCCCAAATCGTCATCCTCCGCCCCCTACTACCATTACTACTACCATATACTCATCCCGATAGCCTATGTGAAGACACGCCACTCCGTGTGCCTGTAGTCTTATACACATAGGTATAACGCCACTCTGCGCGCATAATATCGCCGGCACGTTTCACAGCTATATACCTCTCGCATCACGTTTACAACGCTCTGCTCCACGCGCTGTAGCTTGACTGGCACGGCTACAGCTGACTGGTGTAGGTACGTATACGTAGCGCTGCGCTTTACGGTAGGCGGACATGTTTTCATCGTAAATCTCGAGCAGCTCCGACCAGGAGCTCCTTTCCTACCCCCCCCCCTCCACTTCTCTACCTCCTTTTAGCGCGTCACAGAAATGGATTACACGTGCGCCTCCTCCTCCTCCTCCTCCTCGTCTTCTTCGGTCTCGCAACGCAACGTAGTGTGTGTGTGTGTATATGCGAGTAATCCCCTTTGGCGCTCTTCTCTCGTCTTTTACTTCCTCGTAGCCATGTGTGAAAATTGGAAAAAGAAATGACGCTACCCACCGCGTTAAGAGTCTCGGGCAGTTTGTGCAAAAACGAATGACAAGGCTTCGCGGACTGTATACCTACGAGCTATATATTGAAAATGAAAGGCTATCTCAATTTTTTTTTTTTTTGAGGGAGAAAAAAAAGATTTGTCTTGAAAGTGTTTCCTTTACATTTTAATATTTTGTTCCCATAAATATTTAGCTCCGAGTATGAAAACAGTCCGCATGACGATCTCCATTGGATTGTCCAAAAGCACAAGGAGATTAAGAAACTACCAAAACAAATATTCCGAGATACCGCTCTCTTCCGGGACAAATTCTTGAATGGATTTGACTTTTTGGAGGGCTATTATCGGCGATAATTTGACCGCGTCGATCCGCCGTTTGGTTTGATTCACACGGCAGCTCAAACGCGCACAATGGCTCTTGATAAGCCATACACAGATCGGCGGAACGCCCAACTCGTTAATTCACATCATAAATCTATCTCGGAGTGCGTCCAAAGGCCGAACAGATACTGCTTTTACAAGCCCGCGCGGGCACAGTTCCACTCTATCTGCGGAGTGATGGATCGTTCGGAGGGCTTAATTCGCTAATCGCACGGGGAAGCCACACGAGCTGCCGACTGTTTAGCATTTACGTGCCGCGAGAGCGTGGGAATCAAAATTTTCCATGGAAATCGCCGAGCCGGGCAAATTGAAATACACCCCCCCGCGATGGATGAAGGATCGATTTGAGCTTTTTGTACGCACGGAGAGATTGATGTCGAGTTGCTGTGATTTTTCACGCCTATGATTGAGTAAGTGCTGTACTGTGCGCCCTTCGAAGATAAGCTCGCGGCTCCAGTGAGTTTGGCTCCCACACAAAGAAGGTCAGTCGAGCGGATGATTCTTGGGAAACAGACACATTTGGAAACGTATAAGCAAAGGGCGTTTTTTGGAACACGTACGCTATTTTATACTCTTAATGAGCTAACTGAGAAGCTGTTGATTTTACAAAACTGTAAGTGAGAAGGAAAAAAAATTAACCAGAGAGTACCGTCAATATGGTGATTGTACGTAAATAAACAAAGAGCTCCCTTGAAACAAAGAAATCACCACACACGCGAAGCGATTGATCGAACGATGGATTCGTCTCTGGCGCACATCCCGTGCACTATAATGAAGACGCATGGGGCCACGTCAGCGTCTGCTCGTTTGATTTCGAGCGACTCAACCTACTGTACCCATATAGAGTAGCCATCGAGTATAGCTGACCACGCTGTTAACGTGTGCGCTTCCATCCGACCCTCGTAAAAGCGCATGGGCAGCGGGATATACATGCTCTGTTTTTCATTGGACACGGACACGCTGTCTTTCCATTTTTTTTTTTTTTTACGTGACATGTCTCTGTTACGATCTTCTCGTGCACAATAATATGTAGTCTTTTGATCGAGGTGTATGAGTCCTCGCTCGCAAGACTCATTTGTCGTTTCACCGACATGTACACCTACTAAGCTTCCATAGATTTGGGGTTTAAAAAAAATCTCCGGGTTACCTCCATTTTCAATAACAAGTCAGAATGTGTTTAAAGTAGAGAGATTATCAAACTTGTTCTGATTAATGCATTTTTTTTCCCTCTTACCAGAAAACCCAATATTTTTTAATGTAAATATGTGCCCAACCAGCATTTACTCGACAAATTCTTCGTGATAAATTGCCAGCGACTGTAAAACGCAACTCATCAAACTGCAGCAGGAGCAGCTCCTCCCGGACAAAAGTCTCGTTAGCGGTGGAAGTGGTATTGATAAACGAACGATCAGACGGAGCCGAGCCACCAGAGAGAGGGAAGAAAAACGCCGCGACTCTGTAATACCACGGGCTGAATAGTTGTGCACCGTCACCACCTCCGCTATCCCGGTGATGGGGAGGGAAAGAGGAAACAATTGAGAGACGACTACGTTTTTTCCGCCGTCTTTTTTTTTTTTTTTACGCCTCGGGAGAGCGATGATGTATCCTTGCTCACCTCCTCCTCCCACATAATTTTCTTTCGATCTTTGTCTCTCGGGCTGGACTTTTTCATTAGCGGTATCTCCACCCCTCCGCGGTTCACACTGGTCCCTTTTAGAGAGCAGTTTATCTTTTTCCCCTATCGTAGCCCACCGGAGGTGTTTAATGGATGGTCGGACACGCACGTGGCACGTGTCAAAACTCGGGGGAGCCGCTCAGGTTTTGGTAAGTACTCGCGTTAGGAGAGAAAGGGAGCGTGATGTATTTTCCGTCAGAGACGATAATCGGAAAAGTTGGGATCATCTTTTTATTCTCCGCGTCCCCGACTAGTGTTTTTTTGCAGAAAAAGGGAGGAAAAAATAAGAGTTTGCAATTAATTTCCCCTGTGTTTCACGGGGTTTGAGTAAAAATTCATTTCATGTTGTACGAGCGCATTGCCAGACCGAGCGGTACATCGTTATTTTTGACTTTACCAGCTCGTGATTATTTCCAACACAATCGACTTGTACACCCCACGAGGTATCTACGTTGTTCGTGATGGATGGAACCGGGTCGCCTTTTTGTCGTGAGCTTTTTTAAGTCCATTGCCGTGTCTCGGTGGACATGAATATTTTATACCGAATTCCGTATCGAGCGAGGACGGAAATTTATATTTCATTTCAGAAATAAACGTGCCCCATATTTTTGAATGCCCATTTAACAGAATCGAAATAGAATTCGACGCGTTTTCGATAAATACGAAAATTAAATACATACACGGCACGGAACGTTATTTTTATCTATTTGCATTTCGACGTTGGAAGCGGGGATTCCAATCGCCGGAAGTGATGGTTTTTAATCCGATATTCCGTGATGTATGCCTCGAGCAATGGACTTTGATCGGATTTCGTGATTTTGTTGGCAGGAAGAATTTATTAAAAACTAAAAAAAATATAATTGCAATAATCCAGAAATAACTCGTTCCCGAAGAAAAGAACAAACAAAGTGTATGGCCCTCGGTCGGGAGGGGTAACCACACTCGGAAGGGCAGGAAAAAAATCGACGCACGCAAAAATGGACGAACCCCTGGAGGAGAGAGCTGTCCGTAGCACGCGCCCGGAGCCGATCGATCCCCGCGAACCCCTTTCTCCCGACCACTCCCTTTTCCCCCCTTGGAAAAAAAGGCCACATCCTCCACCGTTCCAAAAAAAATGCAAGTGTGCTCGCTCGCCGAAAAGAAAACTCCGGCATCAACAGCAGCTCGTATTTTCATAAATAACCCGGGGGGGGGGGTCCACCACTGCCGCTGAGTTATCGTCCGCAAGAGGAGAAATGCATCAGAGCACGTGGGCTAATCCCAACAATGAACGGATGGAGGGGAAAAAAAGCTATAAAGTGCTGACGCGTGGTCGCGCTTACCGAGGAAAATTGATGAGCGCCGCTTTGCAGTTCTGTTTATACAAAAGCCTACCTGCTACGCAGCAAGGCAGGCTCCGATGTTTAGTTGGGGTTTTCGCGTACGGAGTTTTTTTTTCTGCATTACCATGGAGTTGGGGATGGACAGAGGGTCGAGCGATTGTGTTTTTTTTTTGTGTGATGGATATACGGGGGAGACGACGAGTGGTAATTGGAGAAAAATCGAGCATCCTATTGTACACGAGGTCGGGACGGGTTAATTGTTTTCCAACAGTCGGACGGTGCTCGAGGGCGTGCCAGACAATTTATTTTTTCAGCAAGTCGCACTCGTCGAAAAAAGGATGAACTTGGCGCTGTGTGTAGGAAAAAATAAACTAGTGGAAAAATGTTCATTCATTCTTTTGGCGCTATGATCTTTTCAAACGAGAAATAAATGGAGAAAAAGGGGGGGGGGGATCTTACACGAGCACGGGCAAATAAAATCAAAGGTATAGGTACGGAGAAAAGAGGATCAGAGAGCGCAAGGATGTATAAAATAAAGTAGAATGAAAGCAGTCGTCGAGGGTGAGTATAAAAGGTGCTGAGAGTGGGAGTAGGTAAGGGGGGAGGGACAATTGGATTTTTCATCGCGACTAGCGACGAAAATTTCCAAGCTCAGATTTGCCGAATTTCGCTCGCCCTCGGCTACACTATGCACGCCACTCCTTCTCCGTTTCTATAGCATCAGCAGCTACGACGAGTTTATTCCGAGAAAATTGTATTCTCGGCCAACGAGATCAACCTTTTCACGTTTTTTTTTTTCCTTTTCGAAATTAAATTCGAGAGCGATAAAAGTCCTCGAGAGAAGTCACCGAGTGTGAGTTTCCCGGCTACTTTTTTCTTCCTCCTTCGCTCGCTTGAGAGGTGAAATTACAGGTCGACGTGCCGCTGAGCTTCCCAAACTCGGAGTTATTACTTTATTTACGGCGAAAGTCCATCCAAAGCGCATTTCAGCGATTAAAAATCGTTCCGCTAAATAAAATTACACAAACACACTATTTCCAACAAGAAGCTATGAAAAACGAAAATTTTTTTAAGTAGAGCCGTTAAACGTTTACGGGGATGATGATGAAAGGCGTCCTTGGATGTAGGCCACTTACAAAATTGCAAACAAAACAAGTGTTGTCGCAATCATTTTTACAAACATAAACTCAGACTCAATAATTTTGCAGAACTCAACCACAGTGTAAAATATCATACCATTCGCGTACACGTAGCCGACAACCACAAAGTTAGCCCTGCTCGTGTATGAATAAGGTCCGATTTGCAAGAGATAAACACGATGGCGACCCAAGTAAGCTGTTTACATTTACTGCAAAAGTGTGCAGCTACGAAAGAGTCCACTCAAAATTTTGCCAGAAGTACACCATTGTGCCATTTCCTCGATGCAACCGCAATATGGTACCCCCCCCCCCCCTGTCCACTCGTGGCAAAATTCCCCATGTTTGCAGCAACTCCTTTCGAGCGATTAT